ATAAGCCCGGACTCGACTTCGGCTATTAGTATAAAGCGATCGTAATATTGAAATTAACTTCTCGGGCACACCTTTCAGAAAAAGGCAGCGCCAGAGTTTAGAGCGGTCGACTGAGTCGAAAGCCGCTTTCAGATCTAGGAAGAGGTGTGTGAGGACATGCTGACGATTTGCTAGCAGACGAGCTAGGTAAGGAATTACACTGTTTCGATTTGTGGAAGTTCGCGCAGTCAGTAGTTGATATTTGGAGTGTGTCCGGGGAATTGACAGGGCTTTCGCGATATTTTGATGCAGACAGTGCCCTTGATCATGCGTTAGCCTGTCAATGAATGTACCACAAGCGTCAAGATGCTTGAAAATAAAGAAATCAACTAAAACAGTTTTATCAACTCCACTGTAGCGGGACACATTTTAAAGGATCTTGAAAATAAAGAGAAGTCTTTTTCTTTCAGTCCCGGGATAAAAATCGGGGAGCAGTATAGCCAATATGGAAGAATGCAGGCAATCACAAATTTAATAATAAGATTATGCAGTACGGCCACTTTCCTGAGCCTGTAAACATAGAAGGACAGTTTTCGAACTTTAGTGAAAACGTTGATGACATGAGCAGACCAGGACAGGTTATGGGTAAGGGTGACACCAAGGCATTTAACAGATGCAAATTTGGGAGTGCTTTGATTGTTAATTCTAAGATCAGGAAGATTATCAACTAATGAAAAATAACGGGGACCGGTTTTAAGACTAAATGGAACTTCGATGTACTTACTGACGTTAAGTTTAAGAGATTGGGTCACAGACCAATCGTAAAGTTCATTAAGACTGTCCTGGAGAGGTCGAAAACTGTCTGAAATAGGGGCTGGGCAACCAATCACAATATCATCAGCATACTTACAAGCAATAAAGTTGGTGGGGATGGGCAAATTTTGTATATAAATGGAAAACAAGAAAGGGGACAAAATGGCACCCTGAAAAAGGGTAATGTAAAGGGTCATAGGCGTTACAGTGGGGTATCATGCGGTGCAGCAAAACATTTTCAAAAATCTTCAGCAACACAGATGTGCAGGCTCCATGATAATGAAATAAGCTCGTATGACCAGGTGTTACGTATTATATCAGTAACGAACACTACGAGGTCATCGCCCCATCTTGAAAAGAGTGGGAGGAAGCCCGTCCGTTTCGGGCAGCTACATCTCACCTGACGGACTCATCACAGATGAAGTATCAGCTCGAATATAGGGAGCTGGACCGGTATTTGCCAACTTGGGAAATCGATGGCCCCGCCGCGACATCGGGATGTTCGTGAAGGGGTGAGTGTACGCTGCAGTAGTCAGGCCAGTGCTGCTTTATGGTGCAGATACTTGACCATTAGGAAAACCGGATAAAGATAAACTGTCGGCGTTTGAATACCAGTCTACCCAGCATTACACAAATCGGGTGGGGAACCGGTCAAGCAATGCTGAGGTTAGTCGCGGGGTTTTAGGTGATGGCGATCGTACACTGGCGCAAGTGATCGACCTCAATAGATTACACTGGTTGGGAAATTTGTTGCACATTTCTTCGAATAGGTTTCCACATCACCCGATGTTTTCCGAGTTATGTAGTGGATGGAGGAAGTTAAAGGGTGATTAAACTAAGACTTGTTGAGAGATTTTGAAAACTCTGATCAGGAGACTCAATCATACAGGTCGCGTTTGCTCCCTGGATGGTTAGAGACACTGTGATGTGGCTGAGTTTCGCAAACGGTGGCGCTCGGGCGTTCACGCATTATACCTGTAACTTTGGCTTTCATGAATGCTCTATTTCTGCACTGGCTCTGATTTGAACATTCCACTCTTCTCTTTGCTCTTCCATCCAGATAGGAAGTCTTTAGGCAGCATCCGGAAGCGGCTCACGTAGGTGAATGGTAATTGTTGCACAAAGTGAAGCTGAAACTATGTAGCCTTCAGTCGTATCCGTTTGAGTTCGACCCATGCTGTTATAAGTTCGGCATCGGGTCAACAGCTGCCCCTCTGTTCTGCCCACGTAAGTGACTCCTCACTCATATTGAAATTCGTATGGTGATTATGATTTGGCGGACAGAAGGGGTAGTGTTTTCATCAAGGGTTTTGGCATCTAAGTTATTGTGAAGCGAACGACCGGATTTGAGTTGAGTGGGAAGATCGGACATTACCACTGTCATTTGTCCAATCTTGAGATTAGCTTAATCACTGTATTTTTTTGGTGAAATTTACTGGGTAGCCATCGAGCTCCAAAGCCGAATTAGCTCATCTTCCACATCCGAATTTCACAGCCGTCTCGATCGATCAATCAGAGTATGCACGAGGCCTCGTTTGTTTTAAACTGAAGCCTCCGGCGGCCTCAGTATCATCGGTGATGAGTGTCTCAGGTTGTGGCTGGTCACCCTTCCGTTCACCTCGCGAAATGCTCCCATATGACCAAGCGTCTCAAGTAACCTCTACTGAGGAATCCCTACTCCTTGCCTCCTCGGGGCAGAGTTGTTTTTCCAACAAAGTGAGCGGTGCTTGCCCGGTGGTAGCCCCATCAAATTATCACCCCGGGGATGTGTTCGAATCCCACCACCGCTTGACTTTCCCCTTTGTGTGTTGAATGGTAGCCCTTTGACTGGCCACTTCCCCCTTCCTGCAATTGTATATTTGCAGATTCAATGAAAGGAAGTAGAATGTAAAAAGCCGAAAAGCCAATATCCGGGCCTATAACCGCGTCACTGATCCCCCGAAGTTCACTTAGGGGAGTTGGCTAAAACCCCTGACTCCAAACCAACTAAGAATAGGTGCACAAACCACAATCGCACCTTACGGATTGTGGCAGTGGTCACCGGCTCAATGGAGCATCGAGGACGTTTGTACGTTTGATCCCTTCCAAAGGGTGCATGATCTGATGAACTGGACACCGGATCCCAATGGATTGCAGTTTTCAGACATCGCCCCACTGCCTCGTGGATCAGATTTTGGCTATCGAGAGGATCTAGTGAATGCTCAAGAAACTTCACCTGCTTTGCCGTGCGCAAACCAGCAGTATCACGCCCACAACAAATCACTGAACTCTTTCCTTTCATAGAGATAATTGTACTGTGGTTTGTTTGGCACAGTCTGGAATCAGGCGTGTATGAAAATATATTAAATATAAAACTTACAAAACACATGTACTGATACTTGTGCGTGGATTTTCGTTGCGTGGACCTGGAAATGGTCTCGTCCGGTCTTCGACTATTAACGATAACCAGAAATGAGCGTGTTGTTTTGATCGGTTTCCATTGTGAACTGGGCGGGAAGCAAATTCGATTCAGATAACAGCCCTTCAAATTAATCACGCGATTCTCATGAGTTAATCTTTTTCTGAGAGTCACGAAACCGCAGACTACGTGAGTGCCTCAGTATAGACAATGTTCAGCTTGGTGGAAGATAAATTCTTCACATGTCGTCCAAGGTATTTTGGAAGAATCGGTCCAGTTCTCACATGTTCCGTGGACTAGTCACATTTCGTCTGCAAAGTTCGTCGTATATCCAAAATAACATTGGCTCCAAAGTTGGAGAATTTCATCCGCTAAGTCAACTTGAGGCCATCTGGTATAGACACGGTTTTGGCGTAAACTCCTTGCAAAATCAGTAAGTTTTAGTTCGAATCATCAGTGTATCACTTTTATCACAATTAGCTCAGATTCCGAGCACACGGATGCGTATTAAATATACGTTGACGTTCAAAGAATGATACAAGATATTTTAAACATCAGACACTGAGATAGAAACTGGATTCATTCAGTAGGTGGGCCCACTTGGCCAGTTCCTGCGGACCGTGAAGCTCAACTTAAACTAAATCGTACGTCATTGAGACCTGTTTTACACATCTAGGATTTTCAGTATCGCCATATCAAGTTGGTGATAATCCTAAACAGACTGTCTAGTAACCAGATCTTGCGTCACAGGTCTCTAAAAGCTCTCACATGAATGTTTCGGTCATTCCCGCTTTGGATATATGCCCCACCGCCTCTGAGTCGAACACTCCGGTTTGTGTTCCCAAAGGTAAACCCATAAGTTCCCGCTACCTTGCGGGTCAGACTTTGAACCAGGCTCCGTTCAGGGCTCCCGGAGATAAACCCATTCGTCGATGTGGGACCCTGCGAAATATGTCGTGCCCTAAGGTCTTAGACAACCATTTGGCAACCCATCTCTCTCATCTGTTTATTTTTTCTTCTCCTTCCCTAATCTTAAGAAATGCCCATGGGATATCAATAAGCACTCAACCAACCAGAAGCTACCAGAATGTCGATATCCGCACACTATCAAGGCGATTTTTCAATTGAATTCAATCGATTGAAAAATCGCCTTGATAAAGGTTACCCACGGTAACCGAAACGTCGGCTTATTTTCACCTGTACCGACATCGTTGTGTTTTCAAAATTACAAATTATATAAAACATATCACATAGCGCATCGATTTTTTGATACACTCCGAACGTTGTTCGGATCTGACACTCAGAACCCTTGAAACTTTCAATTTAGATGCGTACTATGTCTCCGAAACGCTCATCTAAGGCTCTACTTTACTAATCACTTTGCAATCTTCAGATCTGACCACCCTCACTCTTCACTCTCTGTTTGTCAGACGGTTCGGCATCCAAAGCTCGCGGTGTTTCTTGTGTCGGGATTGAGCTACGTGTCAGGGTCGAGCGCTCATTTGGCTAGATTCCAGTCAGTACCCGACTGTGCACGGTACTTCTCTACGGTTCAGTACGGGTCAACGGCTATAGAAGGATGCGTCGGTGCTCATTCGCCATATCGGTTTATGAACCGACCGATCACAGTGCATCTGAAATCAAAGACCACTTCTACGAGGGACTTTCCCAATTACTCGGAAGTCCTTGGTCAGCGAATATCGTAGTAGTTGCTATAGGCTTCAATACTCATGTGAGACCCCTATATGAAGCAGAAACATTTCTTGGCGGTACACATGTGATTCCAGCGAACAGGTCGGACAACGGAGATCGTCTACTCCAACTTTTCGCGGACCATGAATTGTTCCTGTCAAGCACCAACTTCTCGTACAAGAAACAACACTGCCTTACTTAGAAACCGCCTTCCCCTTCACAATGATGGATTTCAATCGACCATATTGCCATCATCTACCGTTGGTGGGGGTCCATTCAATACTGCCGCTCTCACTGTTCAACATCGGTGGACCATGCTCTGATGAGAGCCAGGTTCTCGCTACGCCTGATAAACAACCACAAAAAAGCCACAGGAAACGGATGCCCACAATAGTGTCAGCGATAGTCGCAACTCGGCCTTCGAAGCGGAACTCTCTGATTGCCTTTCAGCTCGACCAACCGCCGAAAGACTCAATAAATAATGGATGTTAACCAAGGAAGCTATCCAAATGTCAATCAAACAGCGGCGGATTCTGGCGCCGCAAAAAACCAACGACTGATCTCCTCGACTTCGGTTGTTCTGGTGGATGAAGAACCCTTCCTTCAGATGCCAAATTTGACGCAACGCTTACATCTCTTAAACGCCAGCTCCTCAAGGGTCTGAGGAATGACCGAGAGAAGTGGTTGGTAGGGAAGTGTGGAGAGATGGCTGCAACTATCGGTAATAGGCGCGATTGACAGAACATTTCAAGACCCAGTCTGATGTACACTGACGATTTTGGTTTTCTTGCGGTTCACTTCAAATGATTTCCTCATTTCCAATAGCCTTTCCGTTTTTCAGTTGAGTTAATTGCATAACCCTATGATAAACAGCAGAAAGAAAAGCACTGTTTACTCAGTGATCGATAATTTAATCTCTGTTAAATGAATTAGTGAACAGCCAAATACCCCAAACTTGTTAATAAGCAGGCCGATAGCAAAACAAACAATCTATCATCAGAGTTGAGCTGTGACGATAAGGCTCAAATCCTAAACCTTATGCCCAAAGCACACCGGTGACCCTGTGCTGTATGACCATCACCACCCAATTGATTTCGCTCGGAGAGACAGTGACCAAAGCCGTGACAGTCCGGTGCCCGAGTAATGAGTCCAAACTCTGATCGGCATGGCTTTTGGTCGATAAAGAACAATTTGCCTTTCTGTTCTGCTAAGATTTCTCTCCCTAACGGGTCGGGTGGATCCCGTTGAGTACAAGGACGTCATGCTAATAATCTTTGACAAAGTTAGCTTGTTATCAGCTGCTTCAAAAATAGACTGATACTCTTTTAAAACTTAATACTTAAGCATATAGCTGGGAAGCTCAGAGTGTTTATGTTTCTTCAATGACTGAATTGTAAAGAAACCACTAGTTTGTGACTCGGTAGAATGAACCACATTTCTCGTTTTAAGGTTGATGAGATTACAAACCGAGTCCTCCTCAAATATCCAAAAACTATTTGTTGGTCGTTGTCGTCTGCCGCTGGTTCGTGGGGGCCGACCGCTACCAGAGAGATGTCGGAACGTGTACTGATTACGAATAAAGAGTAACTGACCATGGAAATCAGATTGTCTCATAGCGTTTTGTTGTAATTTGTGCATTTCTTGGCGGTTAGATCGATTTGCTTATGAGTGTTTCTAATGTGATGAGATTCCCTCTTTTGTGTCCAACAGTGCAAATGTTCTATTCCCAAAACAAAGGGATCATGCGTTTTTTGGATTTCATGGTGAAATTCCCTTTCACATGGGGAGGACCATCTATCTCCTTACAGTAGATAGTTTAATTACTAAGTTTGTATTCTCCTCGTTGTTTATTATAGTGGACTTGCTAAAATGGTACAACTGATCAGACTACATATCACCACATAAGAATGACTAACCTCAAGCTACTGTGCACCTTCGGTCGAGGGATGGAACAATATGTCCGGGAGGAATTAGCTCGATTGAATGCGGAGGTGGTTCAGGTAACAAATCGATCTGTGATTTATTCAAGTTACCCTTTCCCCTTCCGTTCCTTGTTTGGAATTAGTCTTTTCAAGGACGAATATTGTTTTCCTTACCGGAAGACATGCTACAAGATGTGCAGTCTGTTCGTATTTTTGAACGTTTATTCCTCTCTCTGTTGTGCAAGCCCATACTGTTGAATGAAGGTATTTCCATGCGGTTCGAATTTTTGAATCCACAGGTACTACTCGTATAACAACAGTAATCTCGGATGCCTTGACCGAAATCGACGTGCTTGTTTATCGTCAATATCACAAGTTTTGGTCAAATTTCTCAACAGATTTTCACGAATCACCGTCTGAAAGCACCAAGTTTGACGGACGAGAACCTGTGAAAGCCAGATTATTTGTCAAGTTACGTCCCAAATATCTTATTCAACACTCCTCTGTAAGTTACGTAATGTGCCACCAATGATTGCATACTTTTATTCAGGCTGTACACGTGGCTGCAGCAAAACGGCTAACGAAGTTACTGCCGATTGAACTATCCTCGCAATCGTCCCTGGAGGTATTCACCTTCGGAATGTTTTTCTCACCCAGAGTTCTGATTAGATAAACTTGATGCTAAGTAATGAAGTTCTGTTTCTGGGGTTACCTTTGAACAGGTGAGAGTTGTTATTTTGCCAATATTGTCCGAATAAAGGTCCATCAAACAGACTGTTCATCCTCATTATGGACTTAGACACACTACAGCGGCTGCGATCATTCGAAATCTTAAGGTAAGCTATACGAATTCAACTGATTTAGTTCAGATCAGAATTACACCGGACTGTGTTCACATTCTTATTGGTCTGTAAACTTTTCTAGCACGTGTTCCGCATTTTTACCGCTCATCCTTTTCGGCTTGTTTATGAACTGGCCAATGCGCGCATACATGCCTGCTGATCAGCTCTCAATATTACTTTGTTGGCTTTGAACATCAGTAATGTGGTGAGAATTCGGTATCCGGTACCATAATTAAATGGCATAAATTCTTTTCGATCACGATTATTATCACTGAAAATTGTACTGAGATCGTTCGTGATACAAAAGAGAATCAAATTTCTCCAATACTTTTCATACGTTCCTTTCTGATTTGCTGGTTAGTTTGCCTAGAAACTTAAGGAATGGTGGTTTTAATTTCAGTTCAGTTTTTACAACCATTAACCATGCACTTTCGTGCGCCGGTTTGGGTTGCCCATTTGGATAAAAGAGCAAAATGAAGATTGGAATGTCGAAGGAAA